TATTTCTGCAGTTTGGTAGAAACTGGTTCGTGAAGGGGACATAGGTGAATACTGTATGCGTTCAAAACATGTGGCGAATTGCGATAGTGAGAGGTTAACAGAAGTGATGGTCGCATTTTTTGTCGAAGGATCAATAAAGGATATTTCCCGAACGAAGGCGTCTTCCGAACCGCCGAAGAACTGTTATGTCATGAGAAAATGATTTAGGATGGGTAAGAATCGCATCGGACAGTTTTCGCACCTTTACGATCCAGCTTGGCGCTTTCTGTTTACAACCCAAGATGCGCTCCGTCCTGATGATTCCAGTCTTCGGGTCGACAGAGCGGTCAACGACGTCTATGCTGACGACGTGAGAGCATTTGGGGTTTGGGTATTTGTGCCACATTCCGATGACCACATGAGACCATGGATGCCTGGCAACCAGCTCAGGTCAATCAATCGGACATTCGAGAGGGGTACGCACTCATAGCTGAATGCTTGCGAAAAGAAATGCATTAGAAAAACGTACGGGTATCGATGTCCTAAAGGTAATGGTACAAGTGAAAGACGGAGACTGAGGAACGGTGGTCGTGTGAGGACCAAAGGCTTGTGTGAGGACCAAAAACTTGATGATTTTTCACCTTTCACATTCGCAATTATGGCATTTCGGCCGGAATAAACCGGAACAGAACAGTTACCCTTACCAAGTCAGTGACCTCGACTCAAACTCTTTGCGATGTATTCCGCTGACAATTGCGATTGATTGCACAGCGGTGGAGACTGAATCTCAGCCTTTGAAGGTTTCACCTTCATTCTGTTTATTCTGAAGAACTGAGCTTTCTCCAGGGGACGGATGTCTCATAGTTACCGCGTCACGTTGGGTGCACGCATGTGATTGTATCTGGAGACGAGCCGTTTGTCATTTCCTGTGTGTTATGTGAAGTTTGTAGAGTACTACATATCAGTATTGACGGCTACACCTCGAAAGTACTCCAGACTTCCACTAAACCGTCCGTAAGTTTTGTCAGTGTGGCCCACCGAGGGAGGAACCGCAAAGCTTCCTCATATGCTGGAATCTTGCTCTCAATGCCATCGTTTAGCCCAACCCTTCCACTTTCGTACTCGGACCATCCACAGGCAACCCTCCCCCGGATTTTCTGTGGTGGTTCAACGAAGCTGACATCAATCACAAATTCTCTATCCCATGTTCGGCTCCAAACTCTCAACTCTTTAGTCCCTTCGCCCCTTTTCGTCTCATATCCTTCGTATCCTTGTTGTACGCCAGATCTACCATCAACAACAGACCATTTATCTACTTCGGCGTTATCGAAATACACTCGGCACGCTCGTGTATTTGATCCTTGTATCCAGATACGCCTCGTGTTAGACGACAAGATTTGTATGCTGCTTTGCAGCCACGGGTTGCGGGTCAGGACTCGGGCATGTTGAGCAATACCTGCGCTGTTTCCGTAGAAAGATATGTTTTTCCCAGGTGATGGCAATATATTATCCCCAGAAGACCAGCTACACCTGACAAGTTCCTTCCGATCATTGTCTCCGATGCATTCTACTCGGTTGTTGACAGCCGAAGGTAGCGCGGGCACAATCATCTTCAGGTAGTACGGGAGGCCTGTTAGGTAAGTCGTTGACCGTGTCTCGAACTTGACGCTAGTCGTATCGTCAACTTCCTGTGTCAACCAGGGCGCGATGATCTCTACTTTTTGCTGGAAAAACACCTTCATCGGCGAATCGATAGAGAAAGGGAATCCGTGCCTTGTGGAGGGTATTGATGTTGGGGAGAGGAGCATGCCCAAAAGTCCAGATGTGTAAGCCACAGAGATTACAAATGCTACCGATACAACTTGGAAGAGTGTTTTCGGGCTATTGGCATGTTGAAACGAACACGCAGGTGGGAGAGCCACAGCACGAGGGTAAGAAGGTATGAAAGGAACTAGAGGTAGGATCAAGAGAGTCGCAATAAGCGATAGTCCCGCGTAGACTGCAAATACATCACTTAGTAGATAATGGTAAAATACGGATTGAAACTCGCCGATCCAGACAGGTCCACCGTCGACAATCCCCTGGGGCATGGAACCAAGGATGATTACACCGATATGAGAAACCAGAATCACAGGAATCGGAACAACGAGCAGTAATTGAATGTGCCAAATTACCATCTGATGCCCATCACCTTCGGTGTTGTTTCCAGAAGAGAAACGTGGTATGAGAGGTGTGGACTCGATTGGCTGCTGATCTTCCCTGGGTTCGTCTGTCGTTGACGTCTCGTTCTGGTGTTCCTGATCATGATTATTCAGTACTCCGTCCACACTACCTACCAACCAGCCCAGGAAGGCACAGGCAGCGAAAGCAGTAAAAAGGTACGTGCCGCCAATGGGGACAAATAGAGTGGTCACCAAGAGAATCAGATAGTATAACACGAGAAGTTGTAGAAGCAAAGTTTGCGAGCTAGACGTCGACAAAGGGTGGCCACGGAGAAAGGCAAGCGAAGATGTGACGAATAGAGAGAATATCAGATACGCCAAGAAAATCGCTGATCCTATGACCACATATGGTGATGAATAGACAACCTAGCAAGTCGTGATCAATAGCCTCACTATACCCGAACCGACAACCTGGCCTCACATATTTATTTGACTTGAGATGTAACAGTGCTAATCCAGCTTGCGAGGTCACGACCACCACGAGGCCGATCCAAAACCTGATCCAATCGAATTTAGGCTTTCCTTTACCCCACCATACACGATAAAGGATTCCTGCGCGACTCCCTCGAGTCACAGCAAGGTGGCGCCAAACAAAGAAGCCAGTTGTGACCACCGGTACAGTCACCAAAAGTATAATATTGAAGGTCTGCATAGTAGCCAGGGGAAACATCACCATGAGTTGTCCAAATACTTGCGATAAAAATTCAACGTCGTAAAAGCAACAAAAAAGGAATCGTAAAGACAACATACGATCAAAGTAAACGACATCCTCGGAAGGCTCGCTGTTATCCTGGTCCAGCAATGCGCATCCAGCAGCATCGAGAGTTTCCATCATACCCCAGAGAGCACGTACACCACCTTGAATGAACGGAATCGCGTCGTACTTCGTGTGATAGTAGCTTCGCCCTCTGTAAAAGGCAAAATCTAGACCCTGCATACCTCCACCTTGAGCATAAACAGAATAATCAGTTCTAGAACGAATGACTCCAGCAGAAAAAGCGTCAGCAGCTAGAATCGTTCCATGTGGATGAGGTACGTGATAAAAAGCACGTAAAGGCTTTGTAGAGGTGCCTCGGAAGAGAATCGGACGACTCCATGTTCAAGGGTGTCAATTCAGAGGCGTTGAAATATTTGAAAAATGCGCACCTGCCAAAACCTGCACCTTCAAGGTTAAGGAAAGTTCCTGTCAGGTTGGACCAAGGATGCTCAAGAAATCTATGAACGCGAAACGTTGAATACCGACATGATATCACCGCAAGCACATCACATACACGCGTGCTCCGTTCAAACCGTCCTCCTCACCATTATTAAAATTGAAGATAGCAGTTCGCTTGCCTCTTGTCTTGGCCAGCTTTTCTACCATTTGCAACATCGAAACTATTGCCATGCCATCATCCGTCGCTCCACTTGCAGTCGAGACCGAATCGTAGTGCGCTGAGAATAGAACCGCATCATGGAGATCTTGCGCTGTCCCATCGACTTTGACCAGGATGTTAGAGCCTTCAAAGTAACTTTGTTCATCAGACGCATTCGACACACGGTCATCAACCACATGGACATGCGAATATGCCGCAGCTATGGGGTTTAAACGTTCCAGTAGATATGCATGTACGAGATCGTTTGCATGGGAGTTGAAGGGATGTGGACGTGCGGCTATGGCGTGGAGGTCTTGCCATGCTATCGAGAGGTTGAGACCATGTTGATTGTTAGGTTGCGGGAGACTAGGAAGCTCATTTGTCTTCAGAACGGCAATGAAACCAAGCAGGTAGATAGTGACGGCAGCTGTTGTGCCGCGTAGGCGCATTAGTTGCCACAGGTGCATGTTAAGTGGTGAAGCGGGAAAAGGGAAATGATCCTGTGGTTTGCAACTGGTTTAAGGGTTTTATGTTTTCGACTTGGTTACGCGTCTAAAGAATAAGCGATTAGTTCAATAAGCACACAGTACGATACAGTACTTAATGCGGATTTATTGATAGTAGCAAGAATGGGAGCCAACCAAACATGTAGCTCTCCGCCTCGCCGCAACAACGACCCGAGAGATAAGAATGGTTAGCCGCGATTCGGGTGGTGGCAGGAAATAAAATTTTTTTTGTCCAGTACCCGCACTGACTAACTAACCTCTATTGAATCCAACAACAATTCTGAATTGCTTAAGATATTGTTACTAATTTGAAGCCTCGTCTAAATATGGATTATGTAGTAACGACACAGGGTCTGACTTGAATTCAGAACTCTGCTGCGAGTCTCTTGGCACAGCTGGAAAATTGTTGTTTTGGTATCGCTGACTCTTGCTTGTATAGCGGATCTGGAAGGGCTTGACTCAGATTCGTACAAACCTTGGTTCGCTTTAGGAGTCTACCCACTCACGTTAGAAAAATCCACTTGATAGCGCTCCAATGAAATTGTGAAGCTTGCTCACTATGTGGGTCAGATGGGAGCTATGCCTTGTGGTCGAAGAAGCCTCAATAGAGGTATTTGTATTTGCAATGGGACTTTTTGCTACTTTGAGTGCAAGCGAAGCTCTTCGAACCACGTCGGAGTCTAAATCAGGATAAAACTGGATTAGGTCTCGAGCGAGGGTGAAGCCTCACAACATCTATAGGGGTGCTCAATCTTTTTGTGGTTCTACAGGTTACTAGACATGTCTAGAAAGCTAGTTTTTAATAACCAGGGTACTCAATGATTATGTTCACAAATTTTCTCACTTGATCGTGTAGTTTCTCTGTAGTTTCTAACAATGAGCTCTTTCATCAAACTTTTACCAAGGATTCATTTGTTATTAAAACAACATTTTCTCAAGGGCACATGGTGTAGTTGGTTATCACGCCCGCTTAGCATTGAAGTTTTCAGTGATTGCGGGCGGTGCCCGGTTCAATTCCGGGTGTGTCCAATTAGTCAGGTGTATGCTTGTTTTTCAATTTTCCTTGGAAGACAAAGTATTAGTTTAGTAATATACTAGTAGTAACGAGATAGTGGCGCAAAGCAGGCATGTGATGAAATGTCAACGTAGCTTCGCATTGTTAATACGATGCTCTGTGATCAGGCTCATGGAGCTTGAAAAACAAGCAGGTCTTTGGAATTGACAGATACAAGAATGCAAGATATCAGTAATGAATATCATGACTCTGCAATTGCCTTGAGTTCTGTAAGCCGTGCCCGCATTTTCGGCCTGCCATTGTTACTCAAAATGTCAGGTACGTTGGAGAGAATGTGGCGAAAGATACTCACACTTCGAGTAATTTCGTTTCCAGACTTTGCTTCTCTTCTTGAAGGGCAAGACGTTTCTCTGCGTCTAGCTTAGTGCTGAAAAAACACTTAGGCCAAGCTAAAAATGTAAAACTTGCACGAACAATACGTAGCCTCCTTGGCCGTCATAATGCAGAATCAATGCATGATATTTCCAAAGGGATGGTCGATGCGACACGGTAAGAAGTGTTATACCCAAGCGCGTTGCATGGTCCATCATCATCCCCTCCATGTCTGTTGGTACAAGTGACGTTGCCTCGTCTAAAATTGCATACTATGGTGCGCTGTGAACCTTGCGCACTGCAACATCAATGCAAGAACGAACGCACCCGTGGATTGTGATAAAATAGCCTTGCCCACGCAATTTTCTGCTTGTCTCCGCCACTCAACGCATCTCTCCATTCCCGCATTACATCCCAACCACCTTCCCGCTCGACTATGCCGTCCATTCCTACGACAGCAAGAATTAGCAGTAAGTCATTGTCCGTCACACCGCCTATGAGGTCATCAACATTCTTAAGGAGGGCAAAGCTAGCGACACACGTACGAGCTTCCATTTCCACCTTGGAATGTGGATATATGACTTGATCACGAAGGTTGCCAAGCGACAGATATGGCCGTTGTGGGATCAGAATAAACTGAGAAGCGGAAGGTTTTCGGACAACCCCGCCATATACGGGCCAAAGGCCTCCAAGTATACGGAAAAGGGAGGACTTCCCACAACCTGAGGAGGTAAGCACTATACGACAAGCGTTGTGATTCCAATCTTACCGTTGGGTCCGACGATAAGGAGGTGTTGCTGTAGAGGTGTGCACCGTCAGGTCAGTACACGGTCTGGAAATTCAAAGATACGAACTCCAGATTTCACTTGGAAGCTCAGGCTCTTTACCAGGACGTCTCCGTTCGGTGTAATTATAGGTACATTTTCAAATTGAATATCATCTGACTCGATAATTTGTCCGTGGCCACGCAGAACTTTGAAATTTAATAAGTTGCCAGATCAACACCGAAGAGACTTACTGTTTGCATTCTCTCCAATCGTGGCGCTGCTGACTAGGGCCTTTTCAAATTTGCCTCTGCGAACGTCTTTCATGGTATCAAGAAGAAGGGACACCCGAGCTGTGTAACCAGCCAGCTCCGAAAGATCCTTATAAGAATACATAACACGACCAAAAGCATCTTCGAAGTCAGATGTGAGATTTCGTGGATGATACAATGTGGACATGATGTACCTGAAGACGAGAGCAATAGCCGACGATTGGTAACAAAATCTGGAGAAAACACACACATTAGTTGACATCAACTTCGCTATGGAAATATGCTAGACCTTCTGTTCGTCCTCCCAGATCAAGACGCGTACCTGGGAGTTTAAGAAAAACGGGTATCGAGCAGAGAATGAGCTGGAGGCTCATATGACATATATGTAACTGAAAAAAGGTTTTCAACACTCACTCCATAAGCTCCCCACAACCATTTGATCACACCTTCTTCTACACATCCGAACCACCACCGACGGGTTAATACGTTGGTTTCATGTCGAAGGACACTGGAATATTCCCTGTCTAGCAAAATCTTCTCGGTCTGCTCCCCATTCAGAAATGCAATCTCCTCAGCGAACTCGGCAATACGAGAATGGGTATGACGTAATGACCCTGAGAGTTGAGCTGAGAGCGTTGTGTACATTCCGAAGGATGGAGCCAAACGGCGTACTTGAATTCAAGAGAAGGAATTTGTGTTAGCAGGCAGAAGTGAAAAGACAGGACAATACTGACACATTATTGCGGAAGATTGGACTAGAATGGTGAGAATTAAAAGGCCTTCTGCGCCTACATTTTGTGATAGCTGATAATTGTACAAAATGACGTCGAGTACTGGCTTTGCCATATTGGAATATATAGCTGCCAGGTGTGTAGAAAACCGTTGAATATCGTGAGTTATCATCCTTCAAGAACACAAAGTAAGCCTGAGCCTTGAATCGAGATTCGCACAAGACGCAACTGATCAGGGTTCTTTATGCGGTCATCGAGATTTGCTGGACTGTATGTCAGTATACCAGAATACCAGAATATCCAGATGGGAGATGACTTGCATATTTTGTAGTACGCTTTCCCATCAGGACCTTCAGCCTCCTCGCCCAAATACTGCTTCATAACCTCCCTAGTCAACCGTGTTCGGTATGCAATAGCCAGTTTGTTCTGGATATAACTCAGCCAACTGTTCGTCCAGGTAGCGGGTATGGCAACAAGCAGCCATCTCAAGATATTCAAGATAAATTCCTTGGTCCGAGCACGAACGAGACTGGCCACAATTCTGTTCACCATAAGATCAAAATGAGTTCACAAATTGGATATAAAAAGATAAGTGCGTTGGAAGTTCGGACAGAATGCGATAGAGACTGTTGACACATTCCATCAGGGCGAACAAACGAAGGACACACCCACCTTCCATCGAGTGCAGCCACATAGAGAGAAATTGCAGTTCTAAGGACCAACAGGCTGGAATGCATCACCAACAACAACGCTTCCTTGGATCGTATGCTTGGAATCACAATCTGAAGGATCGACGAGAGTCTTTGATAAAAGAGAGCATCGACCTGTTCGCGACGGGTGTCAAGATGCTGTATCAAGAAGCCACGTAAAGACATACCGCAACACGGGGTGGTTTTCCAGTCTGATCCTGTTTATCACCCTCATTTACTATGTTTTTGCTCTTTCCGCCGGCGGAGCTTGACGGAGGTGGTCGAGATGCAAGCCCACGATAGGTCGTCACAAGGACATAGACAACGAATGAGATATTGAGTACTCTTTGGACCAAAGGGCGATGAGCCGCATAGACATTCGCGAACTTAGCGAGGCGTTCATTGAACGATTTGGCTTGTTGTGTTGAAAGTGCCTTCATGTCAGCTCGACAGTACGTGAGGGTCCTAGTGATTGGATGAGCTTTGTACAGCGAAGTCCAGTAAAGTTCCGTCAGTAAAAGTACATTCCCTGTCAACTGCTCATTCAGGGTGTCCACAGTCAGCCATGTGAAATCACAAAATGAATCTAATCTGATAATCGACAGATCTAATTCAAAGGCCTAAACCTTAGGCGGTCGGGATAACTTGGCATTCTGAACCCAACGCACGACCTCGTTCCAATCCTTAGTTCGCGTCAATGGTGCTCCTTCAGGTATTGCGACAATTTCATCCTTCCAAAATTCTTTCCCGCCTTCTATTTCTAGACGGCGATCAAACGACATTTCTTCCTGTGGACCTGACGCCCTCTTGTTCCATTCGTAGTTGCCGAATAAAAGGACTTGTGTTGGTTCCTTATGTGTAGCACATTGCAGGGCGTTTTCAACAGAATCATCTATCAGAAGAACTGCCTTCAGATCTGCGCAAACCTGCGAGTTGATCAGTTTTGTTTTGAAAATACTCTTCCTTCTCCTTGTCTCTGACCTGTGCCTTACTGAGTTTCGTTACAAGCTCATGCCCTGTTTTATGGGCATCCTTGAACTGTCCGGTACAGATAATATTCTCGAAAAGACCTTTGAGTGATATAAAACTTCATGCTGCCTTCCTTGCATTTTTGATATTCCGCACCTGGAAAGTGTCTGTTCGCCCAGTCCCAACTTTCATCTGCTTTATCCTCCGCTCTGGCCGTTACAATCACCAATCTAAATCCCATATTTTTTAATGCCTGTACTCCTTCTCGCGCACCTGGAACAACTTTGGTCTTGAAGATCAAGTCTGTTTCATAAAATTTTTCCACTTTAATAAATGTTTCTGTTGGTGTTCCCCAATATGGATTCTTGAGTGGCATGAGCGACACATCTCTCCACTAGTATCAATCTAGTTATACCTTCCAATAGTAGTAATCTGATAGTTTCTTCTTATGGCGGTCAAAAAGATAATATTGTGAAACTCACAGTAGAACATCGATATATCCATGTCCGTTCCGTACTGCGTGTTATGCCCTAAAACAAGTTCGATCGAATCAGCGTACGAAAGAAAATGCTCCTCACAATCCGCGACCATTTGATTCGTCTGACTGAGGACATCATCAAGGTCGACTGCGATCACAGGCCCGCTGGAACATGAAGGTAGGTATAGTGATATGAGTTTTTCTAGAGCAGCTTTTTCAGCCTGTTCCTGTTGTTCAGGTATTTCATTGAAGTCTGCATGATCTCCAGATGGGGATTCAAGCCACTGTCGAGAGCCAGCAGCAGACATAATCCAAGAGATGGTACTTATGTGTCAACTCAATGAGTTGCCGGAGCCGCGAGATCAATCAAAACGACAAGTCGATGCTTGTACTGTCATGTGTCACAATGTGAAATTTGCGTATAGCAACTAATACACTTACTCTCCAGGTACGAAAAAAAGAACATAGATGATAACAATATAGATCATGAGTGCTCTATGCTTATCTCATAGAAAATTGGAGTTGTTGAAGTGTAGAAAATCCCAAAGTGTGAAATCAGACCAAGTTTTGTAACGCACCTGGGCTCGGTGAAATGAATCATCAGAGAGTATGCAAAATTTAATTATACAGAATCTTTTGATACATACACAGTGTCTTAAATATAATTTTCCGAGGAATAGAACAAAGTGGAAAGCCCCAGGAAGTGGAAATCTTTGTGTTCGACCCAAGAAAGTGTGAC